ACCTATTTGAAGAAATAATGTCAGAAAACTTTCCCTACCTGGTGAAAGAAATAGACTTACAAGTCCAGGAAGCGCAGAGTGCTAAACAAGAGGAACCCAAAGAGACACATCATAATTAAAATACCAAGGGTTAAAGGCAAAGAGAAAATATTAAAAGCAGCAAGAGAAAAGCAGTTAGTTACCTAGAAGGGAACACCCATGCAATGTCAGCTGATTTCTCAACAGAAAATTTGCAGGCCAGAAGGGAGTTGCAAGAAATATTCAAAGTGATGAATAGCAAGACCTACAACCAAGATTACTATACCTGGCAAAGCTGTTATTTAGAATTGAAGGTGAAAGATGATACAGAGGGCTGGAAACCAGGAGATCAGAACACAGGCTTTATTGAGGAGAAGACCTTGCTGGCTACTTCCAGAGGGAGAAAGAGCACATGTGTCAGGGTGAACACTCCTTTTGAGGGGGGGAAAAGGAAGGGACAGGGCTTAGGGCACATGCTGATTGGTGGTTCATGTAAGGCACATGATTAGGGACCTACGGAATTAGGAATCAGGGACTTAGGGTATTTGGCAGGTGCTGATTGCTGGTTCAATGTACAGTCCATATAAGGTACCTTGTTAGGTGCTCAGGAATGTCTATGCTGCAGGTACAGGTTACGTCATACTCTGTCCATCAGTTGGGGAAAGGGAGGATCTATCATTCCAGACTTTTGATAATATTTTTTTAAAAATTGAGAGTCCAGGCAAGGTCAGGGAGTGAAGGTCCATCTTCCGTAACTGCTTCCAGCTGAGAGGGAGCGTCGTTAGGGGCGTCTTCCCCAGAGTCTCAAGGATTCTGGTGTTAGATTCTGAATTCAGTGCCAGATAGATCTCTCCCACTTTCTGGTTGGCGAACGCCTGCATTCTGTTCTGCAAAAGACAAGTGACATAATGCATGGGGTTATATAGAAATAGCCACCAGTTAACCTAATGATGGGAGGCTGGATGAGGAGTGTAGCAGCCTAATTTCCCCAAGGGACTGGTTGGTGAAGTCTTGAGAGCAATCCTGTTGTGTCACTTGGGAGGTAAAAGCTGGTCCTGAGGCTGCCACAGCATCACTTGTTTGGATTTGCTGCTTTTCTGAGCCTGGAGCTGAAATACAACTGAGACTTAGGTGTTATTATTAGGGGGAAAAGAGTAGGGATCTTGGTTGCCTTATCAGTGATAGGAAAGGAGAGAATAGGTTATCCTGGGGGTAGGTTCTTGTTTTCCAAGTTTTGCTCTTTGCTGGGCATCCACATGTTTCTTGTAGGTCCTGAGATAGGGTTTCAAAATAGGTAGAGCAGTGGCTAGGCCCCATATGGCAGTTTTAACCTCTGCTGTGATGTTCAGAGTTATGAGGAGAGGGATTATCTGGACTCCTCTTTTGTGTCAAATATGTTGGGTTACCGGAAAAGATAAAGACTCATTATTGGGGCTTCATCTACATTGGGTGACAGATAGATGAGAGTACAGGTTCCTGTCCAACGGATGGGGAGACAGATGTATGTGTTTTCCCCACAGAGGAAGAAATATTTCTAACATGGAGACAAGCTGAAAGGTGTAGGGCAAAGAGGTGGACTAAAGGGTATGAGATTCCTTTTTCTAGTTCTGTACTCCAAGCTGAGAGAGGTGCTACCAATAAGATGTGACAGATGAGTGATTGAAATTGTAATGCAGTGAAAGTGGGAGGGAAAAGGAAGGAAAGGAGTAGTGAAAGCCAGGGACCTGGATGGTTGGATAAGAGGTTAGACACTGCATATTCTGGTTTAGTTTAAGAAGTGTCCAGCAACCTTGTCCTGCCAGGCTTGGAGACTGAAACCTCTTCCTTCCTTCCTTCCTTCCTTCCTTCCTTCCTTCCTTCCTTCCTTCCTTCCTTCCTTCCTTCCTTCCTTCCTTCCTTCCTTCCTTCCTTCCTTCCTTCCTTCCTTCCTTCCTTCCTTCCTTTCATTTTTCTGTCTCTTTTTCCTTCTCTTCTCCATCTCATCACATGCACAAACCTTCACAAATTTTACTTTCAAATTAGCCTTCAAACCTTCTTTCTATGTCTTTCAAAAATGCATAACCATGCCTTAGATCTTCTATTAAGTATTTCTAAAAGGCAGTGGGTGGGGTGGGGAGCAAGCTCCGCAACCTGTTCCCAGGCTAGCCAGGTCTCTAGCCACTTCGATCCCAAACGGCCACATTCTTCCTATAGATAATGATCGTAGAGATAAGGTGTTCACAGTCCAAGGAATTGGTTGGCCTTGTGGGGTGAGAGAGTAAAACTGAGATAGGTGACTGTGGTTTGGGACAATTGGGTTTTATGAGGGGATGCCTGATAGCCCTGGCCTGGCACCAAGGTAGAATGAAAAAAGAATGAATGGGGGAATTTAGTAAGATGCAGTGTAAACGTGAGGTGGCTAATGGCTGTGAGACTAATCCATCAATCCCGATAATAGAGACTGAGGAGTGGATAAGGGTCCCAGCGATTTCAAAGAGGGAAGAATAAGTGGCCCCAGTGTCAATTAAAAAGGAGATCAGCTTACCTGCCACCACAATTGTTACCTGAGGCTCTATCCTGGTGCTGTAAGTCTGTGGGCCCCTGTCAAGGCCTGGGAAGCTTCTTCGGTGGCCAGTCCCAGGAGGTCTGGGAGCTCCAAACCAGATCCAGAGGGTGGCCATACTGGACTGGCTGAGGCCTGACCAAGAGGGGCCAGACTCCAATCTGATTTCCAGTGCCTTTCCTTCCGCCCCTTGGGCAGGGCTCAGGCAGGAGTCTCAAGTTTGAGCAGGACTTGGCTCACTGTCTTTCCTTGCTGCATTTGAAGCATGGGCCCAGAAGGGCTTAGCCCCTGACTTACCAGTAGTTGGAGGATCAGCACTTTGGGGTTTGAAAGCAGTGGCTAGGAGCTGGAAGGCCTCCTTCTGGGCCTCACCCTTTGCCTGATCTCACCTTTGATTTTGGATTTGGGTCTCCTTGTCTCTATTATTAAAGACTTTAAAGGTTAGGTTTAAGAGGTTTGTGGACCTGTTTCTATTTTATGAAGTTTGTGGCATATGTTGGGGAGTAAAGGTGGTCAGGTCAGTGGAAAAATAACTTGAGATGCCTCTCTATCTGTGAGGCTGGGCATAGAGAATGGGACATGGACTCAGACTAGGCTCTCAGTTCCTGCTGCCTCCCTCAGGGGTAGAATGGACGTATGAATAGAAGAGGCTGTTGAGGAAGGCAGTCGTTGGGCCTGAGAATGAGTGTTAGATGGAAAGGCTGTTTTGGAGCTTATGTTCTCAGGATTTGAGCTCTCAGGGACTGGGGAGAAGGCAGCTGCTGGTTAAGAGTGTCTGCAGAGAAAGAGCCTAGGCGATTTTCAATTTGAGAAAGATCAGAGAGTGAGAAGGGAAAGGGCCAGCCACTTCATTTGAATTCATTTGCTGAAGGCCACAGGAGCGGAGATTAGGCAGAGACTACAGGAAAGGTGGGGGTTAGAATTCTGAGGTAGAAATGCCCACCCTACAAGGGCGGGACCAGGAGGGGCTGTGCAGGGAGGGGCATGCAAGCACCGCTGCCATGCTACCACTGCAGCCGCCACCACAGGTCAGTGGGCAGGATTAGTGTGTGTTAGGGGAAAAAATGGTTAAACATGCTCCTAGAGTCCTCCAAGGGCTCCTGCACTCCGGCGCTGACCTGGGGAAAAGAATGCGTAGTCAGAGAGGGACAGGTTAGGGCTGAAAGGAGGTGGCGGGAGTGAGACACGTGGGAGGATATGATCCGTTGGGTTGAAAGAGTCAGAAGACAGAGAAAGGGGTTTGAGAGGGTAAAGAGGACTTCCAGAGGAGAATCTGATGGTGGAACATCAGGAGTAAAGCGAGGGGTGAGAGCGGGGTGGGCAGGAAGGAGAAACCTGTTCGTAGGAATCTCTGAGGCTTCCTTGTCCAGTGGCAGAAATTATCTAGATTTTAGAGGATATTGGAATCGAAAGTGCTGTTTTAAATGAGCTTTTTTGGTTTGATGTAGCCAGAAAGACCAAGGGTTGAGAGATTGGCAAGAAGACATCCTAAAGGTGTGTTTCGAGGGAGTTTGTATTGAGAGGTTCCCATGACCGGGGGAAAGGGCCACCGAGAAGTTGGGGAAGGAATAAGAAACATCCTTCTTTTCCCTCAGCCAACCTGTAGAAAGAAAGAGACAAGAGAAGGTTCCAAGGTCATCACCCTGAGATCTTTCCCGTGGAGTAGAGCAGAGTTTTCCCGGCCAGGTACCTGGGCTTTCGTAGAATGTAACAGAGTAGACAGGAAAACTCTGAGGCCCTTCCAGGTCAAGGGAACCAGATCGGGGGTGGGGCGGGACAGTCCCCGAAGCCTACCCGTTAGAAGGAAGAGATGAGATTCCCATGTGTTCTGGTATGGCAGTGTTTGAGAAGTGTTCTGAGCAGGCCAATCGACTCAGAACCATGCCACTGAGCAGAGCCAGAGCAGGAGTCATAAGCTCAGGGCTAGGTCAGAGGATCGTCCATGCTCACCGAGGTTTTTTGGCACCAATATGAAAGATGAGACAGAGGGCTGGAGACCAGGAGACCAGAACACAGGCTTTATTGAGAAGACCCTGCCGGCTACCTTCCAGAGGGAGAAAGAGCACACGTGCCGGGGTGAACACGCCTTTTGAGGAGAGGAAAAGGAAGGGATGGGGCTTAGGGGACTCAGCACACACTGATTGGTGGTTTCATGTAAGGCACATGATTAGGGACCTAGGGACTTAGGAATCAGGGGCTTAGGGATTTAACAGGTGCTGGTTGCTGGTTCAATGTACAGTCCATATAAGGTGCCTTGTTAGGTGCTCAGGAATGTCTATGCTGCAGGTACAGGTTATGTCATACTCTGTCCATCATTTGGGGGGAAGGAACGATCTATAAGAAGGTCAGATAAAAAGCTTCACAGACTAGAAAAAGCTAAAGGAGTTCATCACCACCAGACAAGTATCACATGAAATGTTGGAGAGTACTTTTTTCAATGTTAGCCAGTTTTTGCTTTATTGACTCGATGATGCTCAGGCCTTGACTGTGTTCTTCTGCAGAGCTCCTGCTGCTGCTGCTTTTTGATCTTTAGATTCTTTTCATGCTTGTTGAGATGGAGGCACATGGCACATGTGTTCTTGGGCTGCAAATCCAGGGGCTTGTACTTCTTCCCCTTGTCGAATTTCCTGAGGCTTTCTTTCTGAGTCTGGCTAATGATGGTAAGAACATGGGTGATAGACTTGCCAACAACTTGGATCTTTGAAAGTTTGGAAGCTGCACTGCCTGTCACTTTGGCTACACATAGCTGGGATAGCTCCACCTTCAGACCATCCAGGTTTTTTAGCAGCTGCTCCTTCATGGCAAGAAGGTCCCGAGCCTTAATTTTGGCTATGGCTGAACAAGCCGCCACTGCCACCTGCTTGGAGAGAAAGCTTGAAGGGTATTTTTAAAGAAGAGAAAGAGGTAGTAGGAGGGGGATGATAAAAAATATGAACAATAAAATGACAAAAATGCTTATCAACAATTGAGTCTAAAAATAAAAAATAAACAAACAATTTAATGAACAAAATAAATGATGAATAAAGTAGAGCCAGAAGCATGGAAACATTGAACAGACTGATGAACCTCAGAGGGAAAAGTGGGGTTTGGGAGGGCGGGAAGAGATTAACCAAATACCTTATATGTATACTAGTAGCCCTGCACACAAATCCATACATGAGTAGCTTGTTGCTGCTTGCCTCAGCTGGCCACCTGCCCACTGCTGGTAGCTGGTAGCTGGTAGCTCTCCACTGCTAGTAGTTCCCTACCTGCCCTCCTGGAACTCTCTGCCTGCTGCCCTGCCCTCCTGTAGCTCCTTTCCACCCCGACCCCTCTCATAGCTTGCTGCCCTGCCCCCTCCTGTAGCTGTCTGCCTCCTGCTTGTAGTTAAATGCCCCACCTTCCTGCTGAATGGTTGGTCATTAAGCCTTTGGCCTAACATAATTAGCATATTCCTCTCTAACAATATAAGATATGCATAACCTATCATACGCAGACAATAGGATGCTGAAAGCTTGGGGCAGGTTGGAATGGGGTGGAAGGGGCCAATGAATTGGGGGAAAGGAGGACATCTGTAATCTCAATAATAAATATATTTTTTAAAAAGCTTCTGCCCTGCCAAAACTGGTTTGCTCAGTGGTAGAGCGTCGGTCTGCAGACTGAAAGATCCCAGGTTTGATTCCGTCAAGGGCATGTACCTGAGTTGCGGGCACATCCCCAGTAGGGGGTGTGCAAGAGGCAGCTGGTTGATGTTTCTCTCTCTCCCTTCCTCTCTGTAAAAAATCAATAAAATATATTAAAAAAAAAAAAAAAAAAAAAAAAAGCTTCTGCCCTGCTGATGGCAGGTCAATGTTCACCTTATATGTTCAAACCCCCTTTCTTTAGAGGAAGGGAAGTGAGTGCAGCTGTGGAGTGTCCATGGTTGAAATTCCAAATGCATTGTGTGTATGTAGAGAGTCCAACTTGCTGAATATTCCCTTGTCCTATGTAGACCTTTGGCCCTGAACTTTATCTGATGCCAACAATAATATATTTCTATCACTGGGCATCACTGCATCTGTACTTGATTTAATTTGCATAACCATATGTCTCATTTTAATTCTCATGCTAATTCTGTGAAGTTATACAGATGTGAAACCTCCATGGTGGGGGTGTTTCTCATATATATGCTCATGTTTGAACAAGTATTCAGGGGATTGCAGTCCTATGTCCAGGACTGGCCATGTCCAAAGAGCTTCTGCTTGGAATCCCTCCTTCCCTCAATCACCCTCTCCCCGCCAAAAAAAAAATGGAGAGACTTTTGAATGACCATTATATGTTGGGCACTTTCTCTGTTACCTTGTTTGATACCATGAGGCATGTGGTGCCTGTTTTTACAGATGGAGAAAGTGAGGTCATGTGACAGGTGCAGAGCTAGCTGTGAGCTCTCCATCTGTCCACCTTCAGAGGATCCCTCTACGTTTAGGCCCAATCCCACTGGGTCTTTTAACATACTGCTTTGCCCTGCCCTGGAGTCTTAAGGAGTTGAGATTGTTTTTTCTTTTTTTCCTGAAGTTTAGATCTGTTTTTCTAGGGAGAGACAGATGAAATCAGAGCTGGGAGAAATAGTGGAGTCTAGTTAGGAGTTAGGGCAGCAGGAGAACATGACAGGGTAGGGACCCAGTACCAGGGAGAGGTATAGTAGGAGGTGGTAGCAGGTGGGAGTAGAATGGAGGCTGAGGCATGAAGGCATCTGGGAAGCAGCACCCTGTGTCCTACCAGGGAAGGGAAGTGAGTGCAGGAGAGGACCTGGAGCTAAGTAACTCTGATTCCGTGACAATAAAATCAGGCCTAAGGCCTCAGCATATATGTGCCTCTGTTTTGGAGAAGGCCAGCTGGGCAAATGATCACACCTACCAGAAGCCCCTCTCAGCATTAGCGAATTCATTCTTAATAAGGGACTAGCCATCTGGGAAGGCAGATGTGTGTCAGAAAAGGCTCCTGGCACCATCCGGGACTCTCCTTGGAAACAGGACCAAGGAGAACGCCTGTAGGCTTCTGTTGGGAACCTGGGCTTTGGTTGCTGGCTTCTGGTGGGGGATGTCACTGCTTTTGGACTGCTCCCTTTCTGGGCTCAGGTGCTTCTGTGTCCTTGGTAGTAGGAGGTTGAGGGTGGGGAGGGGTAGAGGGAACACAGCCAGGCTCAACACCGTCTGGAAACCTGGAATAAAGACAAGCTCTGCTCTGATTGAGAGATTAGATTGCCCTTGACTGGAACCTCTCTGGGAATTTCCTCACCTTGCCCTAAAGAGGGTTGCTGTGAGCTGGTGAGCAGGCCCAGGCTGGTGGGCTCCTGGGACTAGGTGACAGCACAGCCTTCAAGAAGATTCCTTTCTTTAGCCCACATCCTTGCAAATATCTCCCTTCTTTGGTTACACCCCGAGTTTCAAACAGCAAAATAAGACTGGCTCTCTAGGCATTCACCACTTCTTAAAAAGCCTTGTTTTCTTTCTGGGGAATCTCTTAGAAACTTTGTGGTATCTAACCTCCCAAACTCTTATCTGACTGACCAGGGCCTTTGTTGGTCACAGCATCTCATTAGGGTGATGCTGACCAGTATGTGAAGTGACTGCACTGACTGTCTTTTTACACTCCAACAGACTACACCATACTCCCTTTTGTAAATGATTGGAAACCATTTCCTGGCAGGGCTTGGGAGATGGGAGGAATGTTGTTATCCATGAAAGGTCCTTCTGCCCATGCTTGGTGGCCCACCTGCCAGCTCTGGCCCAGAAGGGTGATATGAAAGCAGCTGAGGTTCTGACTTGGCCTTGGCAATGCCCTTTTTTCTCCCTAACTAAGAGGAGGATAGTTGTGCAGTTTTGACAGGCGAGAGAGTGAGACTGTCAAAGACCAACCTAGATGTTTTGCAATAGCCCCTGGAACACCCGCCTAATCCATCTTGCCCTACACATTGTTCACAGTTCTTGTAGAGTCCAGGGCTTGAGTATGTGAGGGGAGTCAGGAGAATCTAGGTCATGGAGCCTTTAGACCTCAGGGTGATGGACTCTGAGGACATGTCGGGAACAGCAGTGCTGTGTGAGGGGATGGCCTGAGTTATCTGGTCAAGAGACCCTTATGTCTTTATACCACCCTCTCTGAGGCTGCCCTTTTCTTTTTTATTAAGATCTTAGAGGCCCAGTGCACAAAATTTGTGCATGGGGGTGGTGAAGGGGTGTCCCTCAGTCCAGCCTGCACCCTCTCTAACCTGGGACCCCTTGAGGATGTCTGATGGCTTGTTTAGGCCCAATCCCACTGGACAAACCGGCCATCGGACATCCCTCTCACAATCCAGGACTGCTGGCTCCCAACTGCTTGCCTGCCTGCCTGCCTTCCTGATTGCCTCTAACCGCTTCTGCTATGCCACTGCCCCTAGCCAACTCCCATGCCAGCCTGATTGATGTCTAACTGCTCCCCTGCCAGCCTGTTTGCCCACAACTTCTCTCCTTTGCTGGCCTGGCCACCCCTAACTGCCCTCTCCTGCAGGGTTGACCGCCTCCAGCTGCCCTCCCTTGCAGGCCTAGTGCCTCCCAACTGCCCTCCTCTGCTGGCCATCTTGTGGTGGCCATCTTGTTTCCACATGGGGGCAGGATCTTTGACCACATGGGAAAGCCATCTTGTGTGTTGGAGTGATGGTCAATCTGCATATCACTCTTTTATTATATAGGATAGAGGCCTGGTGCATGGGTGGGGGCTATCTGGTTTGCCCTGAAGGATGTCCCAGATCAGGGTGGGGGTTCCCTTGGGGCATGGGGCAGCCTGAGCGAGGGGCTTGTGGTGGTTCACAGGCCAGCCATGCCACCAGGCAACCCAAGCGGAGGCCCTGGTATCTGGAATTTATTTACGTTGTGCAATTGAAACTTTGTAGCCTGGAGTAGAGCCAAGCCTCCTGCTTGCTCCGTGGACAGCAGCCATTTCTGTTTGGATTTGTTTACCTTCTATAATTGAAACTTTGTAGCTTTAAGCGGAGGCCTAGGTCGCAAGGGCAGTGGAAAGCTTGGCTTCCTCTGTTGCCTGGGAAACCCAAGCCTCCCTCCTCCTCTCTGTGGCCATAGCCATCTCGATAGGTTTATTTGCATGTTCACTTTGATTGGCTGGTGGGTGTGGCTTGTGGGTATAGCAGAGTGATGATTAATTTGCATATTACTCTTTTATTAGGTAGGATTTCCCATATCATAAAATTCACCCATTTAAAGTGGTTAATATATTCACAGAGTTGTGCAACCATTACCACATTCTAATTTTAGAACATTACAACACTCCCAAAAGAAACTATATACATTATTAGGCGCTCCCAGTCCCCTTCTCCCTATAGCCCTAGGCAGTCATAATCTACTTTCTATCTGTGGATTTGCCTATTGTGGGAAGTTCATATAAATGGAATCATATGTGGCCTTTGTGACAGGCTTTTTTATTTAGTATGTTTTATCTGTGTTGTAGCTTGTGGCCAAATAAATTTCAATATAGGGATATACCACATTTTGTTTATTGATTCATTAGTTGAACATTTGGGTTAATTCTATTATTTATATATATATATTTATATTTGTCCAGCTAGCATGGCTCATTGGTTGAGTTGGAAAGTGATGGAAAGCAAGGATCTCTGGACAACATCAAGCAGTTTGATTCCCCATCAGGGCATATGCCTGGATTGCGGTTTAGATCCCAAATAAATAAATAGATTTATTTTTATTGATTTCAGAGAGGAAGGGAGAGGGGGAGAGAGAGATAGAAACATCAATGATGAGAGAGAATCATTGATTGGCTGCCTCCTGTATGCTC